CCTTAGGGAAATAGGCATACAACCAGGCTTGGAAGAGCCAGAAGGGGCCACCATAGTTTCCAGAAATGTTGTTGTCGACACAGGAAAATAGGGCCTTGTAAAGGGTGGCAAGAAAATAAGGGGCTAAAGCCATAGCTTGGCCATCTTGCATACACAAGGCAAGGGGGAGGTATTCCTTCATGATCTTGTATCCAGGGACACAAAAAAGAAGCTGACAAAGCCAAAGTAAGTAAAAAGTAGTTATTTCTTTGTCCTTGATAGGGGAACCAGGCTCGCCTTTTTATTTTTCAGCGAAATCTGTATAGCACATGTTAGTGTTTAAAGTAAAGGTCATTTTTGGAGGCTTAAGGAGAGCATGAATTGGATTGCCCAAGATTGGGAGACCAGTCAAGTGAGCAACATCTAAGATGGTAGGGGAAATCATACCAAAATTAAGGAGTAGAGAGTTACAGGATTATGGCCAAAAGCATGCAACAGCAGCAATCAGCCCTTTGTCCATGTCATATTTTTTAGTCGACAATCTAATTGCTTCACTAATGCCCTGATGCTTCTATACTTCAGCGTCATGACCTTCAATTCTCCTGGCCCAGCTTTGCCAAACAGAGTCTGGTGACCTCCAGGATCTGAGTGGATTTTTACTGACATTCCAGTTAGTCCACTTAAGTGTAGGTTCGTTGAGAATAAGGTTCTTACCATTACCAAGGGGATAGTAAGGAGCTAGCTCGTTTGGGAAGCAAGACGTGAAGGTAGGGCCTAGTGTAGCCTTAGCGACAGAGCTTGTGCTGGGCAATAGGGTAATACCTAATTTTAGAGGGGCGATACGTGCTCTGATAGGCTCTGGGAAGCGGAGTACGTCTTCATTGTTGTCCTCAGATGGAGATGGTTAAGATTTTTTGGGCGCCATGGCTTAGGGTTTTGTGGTGCTGTGGTTTTGAACGAAAATGCTTGAGAAAAAGGAGTCCTCTCTGAGGAGTTCGAATCAGAGGGAAATGAAGTTGAAGTGGCTTAGGGTTTTGTGGTGTTGTGGTTTTGAATGGCAATGCTTGAGAAGAAGGAGTCTACTCTAAGGAGTTCGAATAAGAGGGAAATGAAGTTGAAGTGGTTTAAAGTTGAAAAGGTGGGTCTTTTATAGCTTACGATGGGGTCAGTATATTTAAATGCTCTCATATTGGGCTGTAGTCTATGTTTGTTTTGGGCCCGTATTAGGAAATTTGCTATTGGACTTATCTCTTGGGCTCAGGGGAATAAATCCTGGGTTAAGTACAAATTGGGCCCAACTGGCAAGTTTGCTGAAGGTTAAATCATATGATATATAACTTGGACAAGGGGGCCATTGTTTGCACCAAGTTTTTCCAGTCTCTGTCGACAGATGGTCCACTTAATGGAGGACACGTGGCCTAGTCTGAAGGAATGTCCAGCAGTTCAAAGTGGGTTGTCTGTATGTGGGTCACCTAGAAGTGATGAGGGCAGTTTTTAGCACCAGTCATAGAGTTAGTAGGCACATTTCAGGAGGAAGCATGAGACAAAGTAGGAGTCTTGCTCTGTCGACAGAAGTTTCAAACGGTTGGTGGCCATGAAATAAATTGAAGAAAAGGGAGATCAACAGATAGAAGTGGAGGTTTAGTATACTAGGAAAGCCTAGAAGGGAGATCGTGGGTTTTGATATCCCTATATTGTTTTTGTGGCCCATCATTGCATGATCTCACACTTCGACACCATAACTGCCACTGTAACTACCCCCTGACTTCGAATCTTTAAACTCTGCCAAATATTGACTTTTCCCTGTCGACCTTCCTTTTCACCATTGTGGCCCATGTCCCTTATCATTATGAGACAACAATCGACAGAATATTGTCCACTAAACACAACCATAATCCTTGCAAACTGGGCCACTGAACCACAACACTTGGCCACTCACTGTAACTGCTCTCCCTAACTTTGAACCTTCAAACCCTGCCATATATTGAATTTTCCCTGTAATTTAATCAATAAATTCAATGTCGGGAAACTTGTTAATATTTGAAATACCCGTTTTTCTGGACTGTGATGACATAAACACAATTGTTGTCCTACATTTTACGTAACCACAATACACAACTTATTTATATTGAAAACAAAATATACATTTCGGGTTTATAATCATAAAAATGAAAACTATTTTTTTTTTCTTTTAAAGTTCACTCATATCTTCAGCTAAATTATGATTGGTTATTTTTTAAAAATTCCTCTTTGTAGCTATTTTTCCCACATCCTGCCAACAGGTGCTCCATTCAATTAAGGACACATGGCAAGTCTACCTGAAGACAAGGGTTATCAACTAACATTGAATCTTGCATGCCACCTGGCTTATATGGTGGAGCAGTTCCTGGCAGTGATCATGGATTTAGTGGCCACCCTCCAAGAGGAAACATTCGCGAATTGGGAGTCTGTATCTGTCGAGGAAAGGCTAAAAAGACTTGGGCACAGGTGGCAACTTCAAGATATGCACTTCGACAGGTACAAGTAAAGGTTTTATGTGGTTTGAAATGACCGTCCAGTCACAAAAGTTTCACAGAAGCAGTTGCAGATTTGGCAGATCATGGGATCGTGGGAAATAAGAGCTATAAAGGGCAGAAGGTTTGCAGACAAAGAGCACATGAACAACAACACAACAACTTACTTTCTACACTGTAACTTCTGAGCAATTTTTTCCCTTCTCATTTTTGAACCTCAAATCAGCAAAGGTTTATCTTCTATGATTTGTTACCATCACCTCATATCAGAAAGGTCATTTTACTGGTTTACTTTGTTACCATCAGTTCATCGAAAGAAGTCTTCATCCTTTTCAGGCATTCGAACCAATACCACAATTGCTTGATTTTCTTCTTTAATTTGTCAACTTTAAATTACTGCTTGGTTGTTGTAGATATAGGCCCACTTTAATTTTACTAACAATAAACCCATCACTTTCATAATTAACATGAAATAATTTCACAACTCCTGTTCGTAACTCATAATTCATATAGCAATCGGCATAGAGATAAAGTAAACGAGTTCGTTAGGTTACTTTCTCCAAGTAATACCCAAAATTAATTGCCACTTGGATTATATACAAAGTGCATGTGCTGGGATGTAATTTTGCAAAACCACATGGACAAAATTCATATTTTACTCGAAATATAATAGTAATTTATTAAAACAAGTCATAACAAATCAATACGAAGCCAAACACATTGTTAGCTGATAAACCACACAGTAAGACACCATTCAATTAGATCCAACTAACTATGGAACACAAACAAGCAACCCGCAATAGGAATCTTGGAATACAGACATAAGCCAATTTCCAACCCAAAACAATACACAGACAACCCATATATATCTCACCTTCAATTAGTTTTCAAAATGACAAGTCACTGCAAACACAAATGACAATATCACTCTAAACAATATGGGAAATCAATGTTCCTAGCCTTATACATAAGTAACGTTGTGCCATTTCGTGGCATTGTACATAACCAATTATTTACACGTTACGTACAATAATCTGTGCAAAATGAAAACTACATACATATCTACCATGTTCTTCACAATGATGTGTTTCCAATAGCTAGTACTGTCTACCTAATAAATTAAGAGAATAAGTAAATCATACAAATTATACAATTACCTGATTCACCTCATCAATTGTGGTCGAATCATTTTTGCACACTGCTGCTTCGACACTACCGTATTGGCCCACAGGCTATTTGGAATCAGAAGAAACATCGAAAAATAGTCGTCGTTGCTTAATGTGCAGTGTACTTGGATCCACCAACCCAGGTTTGCAGCGAATGGGCAATGACTCCACATTGTACTCACGGTCAGCGATGTGGGTTGTATCTGCATCTGAGTTACTACCCACTGTTCGGCTAAACCGAACCTTAGGACACGTTCGCTTTGTGTGCCCAATGCATTTGCAATTCCCACATTTTCTTGGTCTTTGACAGTTGGACGAGGCCCGTCCCAGGTTTCCTTTTGTCTTCACAAGATCAGGATCTTCTACTCCAAATTGTCGTGGGATTGAATGTTTCCCTTTGTCTCCATCCCCATCATTCAGATTCCTCTCATATAACTTCTTCATCCGGCTCGTCATTGGAAGACATACATCCCAAGCCTCTTTGAAACCCTCCGTTGATTACGAAGCATAGAAACACATTTCATTGTAAGAAGAACTCAATATCCCATACTGGGCCGTCTGTGTTGTAGTGTTATCAATTGAGGGTTGAGGCCATTGCTAGCCATCCTTGCTTGCAGCCCTTATCCATCTATGCAGTACACAAGTTGGGGGAATTTGCGTTAAATTTTTGGCTTTCATAACACATATCATGTGACAGCAAGGTAGCCCCAACGACTCAAACTTCATGCAAGAACATCTCATTGCAACATCCACTAGATTGTGTGTTACTATCCATGATTTATCATTCACCTTGTAATTATGAATATAGTAGCATTTCTGACCATTCGGCAAAGGGAACACGTCCTTGACATTCAACTTCCCCTCTTCTAAGATTTCATCACGGAACATTCTAAATATATTTCGGGTGAATAGCTCAGCTCCATGTCTCTCTATATCTCGCAATGGAGTAATCAATACCAGAAAAGTGTTATTTGTTTCAGCATCATCTCCAGCCTCGTTTTACCTTATCCTTGCAAGAGCCCGATCATAGTGCCTAACAAATTCATATAGCTTCAATTTGTGTTGGAGGAAGGGATTGAAATAAGCATTCATACTCTCTGAGCGCTAAGTGCTCTTCATCCCAACAAAGAAATATCCACGCATATATGCCTTAGCCCACATATGACGCTTCTCACATGTCTCTAACACCCAGCTGTTGGTTTGAAGTCCAAATTTTTGTACCATTCTCGTCCAGCCATGCTCAAACTTTGCCTCATCCGTTTCCATGTCCATGCACTGCTTGAAAGCATGTGCAAAGCCACTTTTGTGAACATTTGAAACAATATTTTTCCCAAGATGCCAATTACATAATCGATTTCTTGCGTCTGGAATCTCTTTTGATTGCCTCTTGCATCGCCTTATCTCCATCTGTCAGTACGAACACAGATGCTTTATTGCCCATCGCCTTCATAAATGTTTTCAAAACCCCTGTGTATGTATCAATTGTCTCATTAGCTAGCAAAACACATGCAAATATCGTGGTCCTAAAGTGGTTAGTCACACCAACCAACATGACAAAAGGTTTCTTGTACGCATTGGTTTTGTAAGTTGAGTCAAATATCAACACATCACCAAACTTTGCGTAGTCAACTCGCGATTTCGAATCTGCCCAAAACAGATTTTGTAACTTGTTATCCTCACACACATCATACTTGTAAAAAAAAGTGTGTCAACATCAAGTTTTGCACATAGGTAAACCACCGCACCCTGCACATCACCATCCTCAACTTCTGCTCTACATTCGGCTTGAATATGGTTGTGCAGATCCGTACAAATGAAACCAACATTCTCATAAGACCTGGATTGATTTACCATATAGTCCATGATTTGGCTAGTCTTCACACCGACGTTGCGCATAGCCATTGCTTGAGCTTTGTCGGCGTTGTTTAAACCACGATGTGACCTCAGATACATCACACAGTGTTGTTCCACCAATTCATGGTTGTGTGTAGACACCTCATTTTTTACTGCCCTTAAGACTTGGGCACTACTGATTACTTACTTAGTGATGCAGGCTATGCTATGCAAAGGGTCGATTTCTTTGGCAATAAGAGCGTCAAATCCAAAGCTCACACCCCTTTTTCGGAACAAAACTATTTTGAATGGTTTTTAGACCTTAAGGCCCTCTCTTTCAAAATGTTTTTGAAATAAGGTTTCTACGATGTTCCGACGCTCGTATTTTGTTAAATGTTGCACTTTTCGGTAAACCGAGCAAGGACAAAGTGGAGATGAATGAAAGAGAGGTGAACTCTTTGGAAAATCTTTCAAAACACCTTATTTATGGGTTTGGAGTTGAACAAAATGAGAGAGGAGAGAAGAAAACAAGTTGGGGAAGAAGTTGGGCATGAATTGTTAAGAGAGAGTCAAGCAGCCCTCGCTAAATCAGGCCTATCCTTTTGTATACTTAGATTTAATCTATGAGGCCACCACCGTTGAAAAGAAGACTTCTAGGGCTTCATTTTACACTCAAGAATCTCCTAAATCCAAGTTCGGATGGAGGAGATATGGTTGGTTGAAGTTAGGCTTCAATCCGATTGAGCCGGAAATGAGCAGTCTTCATTAAAAGAGGGATATCTCTTAGAACACTTGAAATTTTGAGGTTAGGCTTCCACCATTGGAAAGCTTACTCCCGGGGCTTCATTTTAGACACAAGAATGACCTGCAAAGGAGTCTAGATAAAGGAGTTATGCCCATTTGAAGTGGGACCTGCAGAGTAGAATTTGCAATCGGCCACAGAAGTGGCTGGTCGGCCAACAAGGTAGCAGGTCGGCCAAAAAGATGGCCGGTCAGCCAAAAATGACCCAAACTTAGATTTTTTGAAGATCTTTTCCCTCTAGCTGTTCCACACAAGCTCCAGCTATCCCAATTCAAATATTTTCGACCAAAAGCTCTTGAATTGCTATATATGAAGGCAATATCTATCATTTTAGGGAAAAAAAGGGGAGCAACTTTGGGAACCTCTCTCTCTAAAGATCCTCTCTCTCTAGGAAATTTGAGAGCTGAAAACTCTCTCTCTCTCTCTATATATATATATATTTTAAGTGCTTGAAAGTGCTTGAAAGTGGGATTTTTCTACACCTTTGCAAAGGGACTCTTAATCAAACACCTCTATCTTGTTGCTGAGGCTCTTGGAGGATTTATTTGAGCTCTTAAAGCTTGGTTTTTGCCTCAGAAGTGCCTGTTTTGTTGTGGTTCTTCAAGGGTGAGTGGTTACCCTCTTTAAGCTTTGTTTTGCTTAAGTATTTGGCCACCCTTGTGTGGGAGCCATAAAAAAATATATATCAGCTTATTGGGGTTAACCCAAACAAAGCCTACAATGGGTCCAACCCAAACTAATATCACACCCCCCATCTATATAAAGGAGGGGCATCCTAGAAGAGGAGGTAAGTCATCTCTCTCTACACTACACACCAAGGACTCTACATTTTCAAGACCTTCATTATGTTTATCAAGGGACTGACTTCACCATCGGAGTGCCTCCGATCGACAACCCCGGTTGGGTGGCGCCGATCATGCTCATCTTTGCAGGTCTACCAGGATAAAGTTTATCTCTTCGTTGGATCTCTATAATCCATGTGAGAGGATATTTCATGGTCTCACAATTGGCGCCTAGGAGTGGACTTAGAGTGGAGGCATAGTTCCATGTTTTGGGGGTACTTGCCAATATTTTTCCTTGATTTCATGGATACAGTTTGAAAAAGTTGTAAAATTTTCTATTCCCTAGGATGGCTGGCCATGTGGGCTGATTTGAGAAAATTAATTTATTTTTTTCTTGTGTGTAATTGTTGGAAATTGACAAATATAGTGTATAATTTTTTTGCTAAAGTTCAAGTGTACATATATATATATATACACGTCTATGTATGTGTCTATTTATGCTCACAGATTTGATCAAACCCTTGTTGATTATTAATATTGCTTAGAAAGGTTGTCAAAACAAGATGAAGTTTGTAGCTGCTTTCTCTCTCTAAAAATGGGTTTCACACCTTTCTTGGTGCAAACATTTTTTCGGCAATTCAATAAAGTTGTTCGACTAAATCTACACATGGGTCTGTCCATTCATTTATTTATTCTTCTTTATTTCTCAAAACGGCTGGGTCTTCAGGTTTTCTCTCTCTAGAATTATTCCCAGCAAGAGACATTGCCATAGGATGGACCATGAGTTATGATAAAAAACGTTATTATTATTATTTAATTAATTATGGTAGCTGGCAGGCTATATATGTGTGTATATATATATATCTGCATATAAATTCCAACAGTCTGATCTGGAGGCAACTTCAATTGTCATGAATGGGTCATGTTGATGCCGACCAAAATCTCGACAAAACTGAAGATATCCAAATTCACCTCTGGTCATTATTTATTTATTTATCTCTCGGCTAAACTAAATTTAATAGATCTTCCCATATAATATGAAGTCAACATATATTGTTTATTTATTTATCTCTTGGCTTCATATGTTTTCAATTCTGCGTTTGCAGGTTTAAAATATATATATATATATACTTGCATGCATACGAAACTTTATTAATCACCTGCTGGGTTAAAAAATCACGTATTGCAATTATACCATCTTCACCCTCTCTAGAAGTCTCCTCGGCAAGAAAATTTGACAACGTTAAGACCACTTCAATTACCATAAAGGCTCATCATATTTCCTTTCCTTAAACTTCTAACTTTATCTCTCTAGGCATAATTTCACCAATTTATTGTTTATATAAAACTATGATCTTTACTAAAGTTTTTGCATAGTTTGAGTTGGATTGGGTCACCGTCATTGTTTGGCCAAAACAAAGCCAAACGGAGATGATCAAGTATTCTCAGCCAAAGAGTTGTCGAAGTATTTCGGCAAGCCCACGTTGCCAACATGCCGACCACGTATTCGGCAAGCCAAGAAGGGAATTGCTGCACATTTGTTCTCGGCCAGTCAAACCCAAAGCGAAGGCCGACCACTGGAACACTCAATTCCATAATATTCGGCCAAACAGACGGAGCTGTTAGGCAATTTAGTAAGACTTTCCATTTATATTCAACATTCGAGCCCATACGTGCATTTCGGCAATACTGAGAACTCATAGCCAATTGCTTGGCAAAGCTCCCAAGCTACTTTGCATGTCATTTATTCGGGTTATTTATTCAGCATATCAGCAACTGCAAATTCACAACTTATTCGGCCCTCGACAATTTGGCTGTGCATTATTCGGCACAAAACTACATGCTCGTAACATGCTCCATAGTGTTGAACATCCTCGGCACAAAACTACAATCATTAACTTGAATTGCTCGGCAAAGCTCCAAAGATACTTTGCATGTCATTTATTCGGGTTATTTATTCGGCATATCAACAACTACAAATTCACAACTTATTCGGCCCTCGGCAATTCGGCTGTGTATTATTCGGCACAAAACTACATGCTCCTAACATGCTCTATAGCGTTGGACATCCTCGGCACAAAACCACAATCATTAACTTGAATTGCTCGGCAAAGCTCCAAAGCTACTTTGCATGTCATTTATTCGGCTTGTTTATTCGGCATATCAACAACTGCAAATTCACAACTTATTTGGCCCTCGGCAATTCGACTAACATTATTCGACACAAAACTACATGCTCGTAACATACTCCATAGCATTGGACATCCTCGGCACAAAACTACAATTATTAACTTGCCTACCTCTTCGGCAAAAATCTCATGCTTATTATCTCGGCATAGAACTAGCATCTTAGCTTGTTGAAATCAACATCTGAATATACGAGAGGATTCACATCAAATCAGGGAGTCCAAACCCACTAACCCGAACAGCCAAGAAGTAACCAAAGTTCACTGGAAACTGCGAAACAGACCACATTTTCCGAACATAAATTTTCAAAGTTTTCGAAATCAAGTTTTGATCAGCCCAATGTGAAGTACTCATCGAGACAAATCCAACATAACAAACCGCGTAAAAATCGGAGCTAAAATGAAGCCATACGGGCCGATCAATGTTTGCCCAGAAAATGAATTCCTTCACTGGAGAAGACAACCCAGCAAGATATGCAGAAATAATCCTGTGCTTTGCGGTTGCAATACACCTTGTTGATCTGAGCCGTTAGATCTATTTTGGCTATAATTACACCATTAGGAATCTGATCACATCGATCCAATAGTCCTTTCTAGCTATTTAACGCATTCTGGGTCCATCCGTACGGTCAAAATTTGCAAATTCAGCTAAAAAAAAAAAAACTCTACTTTGTCCCAGCTTCATTCCGATTTCGCCACGGCACCGAACAGGGGCACGGAATCCGTTTCAAATTGTTATCGGCTTACTCGGTAATTTTGGCCCAAGTCAATTTTATTCCTTTCGAATAACTAATCTTATTCAAAAGCAATGGGGCAAATATACGTCGGACAAGAAACTTAACTTCAATAAATTGGCAACCATTGCCAACCAAGTTCTTAGCAAATCTAACTCCGAAGGGATGCCGACTCACCGTGAAACTAAGAAAAATAGCCGACCAAAAGATCAGCACAATCACCGACCCAAGTGTAGCTGACCAACTTTTCGGCAAAATCACATTATATATGAAACAAACACTGATGTTTTGACACTAGTTACTCGGCAGTGCATTGCACCATTATCAATTCAACATTATGATCATTATTCGGCCGTGCATCAACTTTATTCAGCTAAACAACATTATTTGTCAACTTTATGCATTGTCAAACTTTATGCAGCAACATTGGCCACAATATTCGGCAACTTTATTCGCCTAACAACATTATTTGGCAAAACAATTGCTTACTGGGACATTTTAGTCAATTTTTCGCTTTCCAATTGGGGCACATTAGCGATTATCATCTCGGCACCTTTGATATGCA